CCCACAGTTCCCCCTGCCCCAGGCTCTCACTGGGCGCTCCCAAGCAAGTTCACACACCTAAGCGCAGCAAGAAGAAAACATGGGAACTTGTGTTTATAGTTTATATTTTTATCTTATTTTTTCTAACGTTCTGTTTTCTTGTTTCATAATGTACATAATATATTTGTATAGTAGTCCATGAATACAATTTATAAATATACATCCATCGGGAGTGCTCAGAAATTATTTACCGTGGGAAGGGATCATACACTTTGAGGATCTGTGTGGAGGGATGACCGGGCACAGTGCGAGCAAACCCACAGGGGGACTCACTGTGCCCCCCCCCAACACAGCCCCCCGGTGTTCCTGCCTCACCTGGGAGAAAGCTGAGACCCACAGGTGCAGTCAGCTAGAGGTGCACCTGGGACGTGAACCCTGGCACTGGGTTCCTGAGCCACACCACACCACCATGGGACCTAGCGCTCATTCCCACCCTGACCCAAGGGCTTCCAGGGCTCACCTGAGTCAGAAATAGGGTCTGACCTCCTCTCCCGAACAGGATTTCTCACCCCCTGTATTCCAACCCAGTGATCCCATGTCAGTACAGGGGCGCTCCTCAGGAACCAGACAGAGGACCCCCACCATGCCTTCTGCAGTCCCCGCTCTCCCACCTCCCTGTGTCCCCCAGCCGAGCTGACCTTCGGGAATGGTGGGGGTGAAGAGGTCCCACTGGGACTGGGATGCCACCCAAGGCTGGGTTTGTGATTCCTGAGCCTGTTGAAACTTTCTTTTCAAAGCCCAAGGCTACAACAGTTCTAATTCCACCGACTCAGCCTTGGGGACACCTGAGAAGCTGTCAGAAGCTGGCCCCAGGCCAGCCACTGCTGCAATGGGTCCAGGCCCAGCCAGCAGCCTGGCGGCAGGGCATTCTCAAGCTCCCGGTGACTTACCCACAGCCAGGGTTGAGAACGGCTGGCCCAAAGACCCATCAGGAAGGAAGGTCAGGAGGAACCCCAGGACCTGCCTTGAAAAGCCCCCACCTCCCCCAAGGGGCCCAGCGCCTGGCTGGATTCCAGGTCTGGAGGCAGCATCTGGGCAGCTCTGACCTGGTGCCCTCAGGCCAGTGGCTTCATGTGGTCATTAAAGGCTTGGCTGACTCTTGTCCCTGTTCCCGTCCTCTCACTCACCCAGCATCACAAGACCAGTCTGTCAACACGTGCTGGGCCCCGTTCCAGGCCTGGCAGCAAGTGTGCTGGGAAACAGCTCTGTGCTTGGTTGAGGGAGGGAGGCAGGGCAGACACCAGCCCGGCCACTGAAAGTGACACAAGTCAGCCCTGGACGGCATGGCTCAGCGGTTAGAGCGTCGGCCTGGGCACCGAAGGGTCTCGGGTTCCATTCCTGGGCAAGGGCATGTACCTGGGTTGCAGTTTTGATCCCTGGCCCCAGTCAGGGCACTTATGGGAGGCAACCAATCGATGTGTCTCTCTCATATCGATGTTTCTCTTTCTTTTTCTCTCTCTCCCCTTCCCTCCCCCTTCCCTCCCTCCTACTCTCTAAAAATCAATGAGTAGAAAAATTAAATTAAAAAATAAAGTGACACATGTTAATTAGCAGTTCAGGGCCGAAGTGTGGTTCCAGCCAGCAGCCTCAGCACCGCCTGGGGACTTGTTAGAAATGCACATTCTCAGGCCCCACGAGGCCTCCTGAAGCAAAAGCTCTAAGGGCGGGGCCCAGGGGTAAGGCCCGGGCCGATGGAGGGCTGGGCGCTAAAGTGAGGGAACCACTGCAGAGAACCACCACACAGAACCACCAAGGTCCTTATCACCTTCTGGCCCTCCGGTGAAGTTTACCGAGAAGCAGCCAGGTGGAGGCAGGCTCCCTGAGGGGCTGTGGAGAGGGGACACGCTTGGAGGCCTGGGGACATCAGCAGACAGGGCCTCAGTCACCCTCCGAGTGACTGTGAGGATCAACTAAGCAATGGCTTCTACAGCGTCCTGTCCTGATGGGCGCCTGGTCCTTCCTAGGAGTGCGCCCCCCCCGCCCCCGAGCTCGAGGGCAGTGCCTGAGCACTGCACCTGTCTGAACACACTCCTAGGCTGGCCGGGGCCTCACCCAGTCTAAGGTTAAATTCGAGAGCCGAGCCCAGCATTGGCCCCTAACAGACGCCCAAAAGGTGGTCATGAATGAACCAGCTGGAGGTGGGTGGAAGTTGCCTCTTCCACCTGCTCCTCTGATGGGGTCTGGCCCCCCAGTTCTCCAGCCTGTGTGTGAGACTCCCCTGTGGAGCTTGGGAAGGGCCCCATCTTTACGTCCTGTCACCCCAATAGTGTAGGATAATCCCCCCACCTTGAACTCGTCAGATTAACCAACTCAAGTCCTCCTTAGCAGGTAACACACGCGCTCCAGGGGTTAGGACAAGGACAGTACCTACCCAACAGCCCAGGGGCCCACAGCCCAGCAGTGGTGGCCCCAAGGCCCAGGCGCCTCCTCAGTCCCTGCAGGGTGGGGCAGAGTCTGCTGCTCTGGGCTGAGCCCTGGTTGCTGGGGCCCTGGGGTGCTGGGGCCTCTGGGTTATCTCCTTGCTGCAGGTACCTCCCAGGGAGCATCCTGGGAGACCCAGAGTAGAGGCCCCGGACCAAGGGAGCTTTTTGGAGCCTGGGCAGAGGGCCCGGCACATACAGAGGCATGAGGCTGCTGCTGCTGTGCTGCTTGGCTGTACTGGGTGAGCCCACCAGGGACATCCTGGAAGGGGGCCGCTGTGCAGAGGGTGTTGGGTGCTGGGGGCACAGGAGAGGTGGGACCTGAAGGTATGGACACCTCCGGAAGCACAGGAAAGAGAGACAAAGACCTAGGCTTGAATCTCAGACCAGCCTCTCGTGGGATGTGTGGCCCCGTCACTGCTTCTCCATTCTGGGCCCACTATTTACACATCTGCAAAATGGGCTGATGATACTAATCATGGGCTCAAAAGAACTTTTGTGAGTGAAGATACTTGACAGGTCCGGGGCCTCCCATCTGGGCTCTGTAGGAGGCGCTCGGGGTGGACTCCAGCCTCCCCTCCCCCAGGGGGCTCTTCTTACCCCCCTCTCCATCTCCCTCTCTTACAGCCACCAGCAGCTTCTCCATGGAGCAGGAGAGAGGTGAGTAGCCCAGCAGGCTGGAGGGAGCAGGGCCCCCGCCCGTGGTGGTTGCCTCGGCTGGGGGGAGGTTGCTGCTGCTGAGGGGGCATCTCCCGGTGGCAATCCCCGAGGGGAGTGGGAAGGAGAAGGCTGGGGAGGGGGGCCTCCCGTGGGCTGTGTGTATGCTGTGGGGTGGGGGAGGGGCAGTACTGGTGAAGGGCGGAGGCGGGTGTGTCCCTGGGCAGATGCATTCCAATCACTCTGCCCCAGGTGCCAGGTATGGAGCGGAAGCTCCACAGATCTGCCCGGTGGGTGTGACACAGAGAGGGTCAGGGTCATTCTGATGGGTCACCATGGCCCAGGATGGGGGTAATGAGTGAGTGGGGACGTCCAGGCTCCCCCAGAGGTCCAGCAGATGGGAGGCTGCCTCACTCCCAGAGACAGCAGGAGGGCTCAGGACCTGCCCTCCGTGAGTCTAAGGGGCTGGTACAGAGCTGGGGGAGGGGACAGTCCTGGTCCTGCCGTTTCCCCTAAGCTCTGCCCCTCCGCTTTCCGGCTCCCCTCCCTTCTCGTCCCCTCCCTCCTGCGCCCATTTCTAACCCTGTGAGCCTTATGGTCAAGGTGGTGGGTGGCCTCCTCCTGCTGGTCCCAGGGCAGGGGAGCTGCTCTTCCTCCCATCTGGTCGCAGGGTCAGAGAGCAGGCATCCGCCTCTGGACACTGAAGGGCGGGTCTCACTTGATCAGCACAGGCTGAACTGTCATTTCCTCATTTGCTTTCAAAACACACTGTGGTGTTTTCACTTAAAAAAAGAGAGCAGAGCCCTGCACAGGGCACAGGCTGCCCAGCCAGGTCTCTGGGAAGTACCTGGGCAGGGCGGATCCCTCGCTCTCAGTCCCCTGACTTTGTTCAGACTCTTGCCCAGCACGTTCTGCTCACTGAACTCCTGAGAAACCAACTGGTAAATCATTCACTCGCTCACTCATCCAGCAAGCCCTGGCTGAGCACCTGGTGCTGGCCCCCGCTGTAGGCCCCAGGATGAACCCCTGCCCCCAGGGAGCTTATACTCCCCTAGGCCCCAGGATGAACCCCTGCCCCCAGGGAGCTTATACTCCCGTGGGGCCGGGGAAACAGGTGATGGCTGGAGAGTGTGCTAGATTGCAGTTCATCATCCTAGAGAAAAGCAAGTGATGGGAGGGAAGGGGACATACGGTGGGGTGGGGAGGCAGGGCAGCATTTACTGGGAAGTTGGCACTGAAAGGGGGACCCCCAAGCAAAGACATGTAGAGCAGGATGTGCCTGGACAAGGGCCTGCAGGGCCATAGCACA